CCGTGTGGCAGGCGCCCTGACACTTGGGCCCGGACAGCCAAGCAGGCAACATCACCCACTCTCTCCTCGCTGCTGTACTCGGCTCGTTGTACTCATCTAGTTGTGCTTGCGGTGGTTGACCTTCGGCTCTTTGGTCCCGCCTCTCAACTGTTAATCAACCGGTGGACAGATTCCCGAGCCTATTAGGCTGTGTTAACTCCCACCACAACCATGACCCAGCCCGTTATTGTCCAGATGGACAACAAAGTGGTGCCCAGGGGTCTCTCATCCTTCGTCAAGACTTACAGGAACTACATTATGCTTATGCTTGGCGTGTTCAGTTTTGGAGTGGTGATTGGAATTGGTCCAGGTGTTGTGCTGGGTAGATATCTCTCTACCTCTCCTGACCACACAGCCACGAAACATGGCCCGACTAACTCCACGACAACAGTGGGACCCCTCACGGTGACCGTTCCCTCGAGCACGGAGGCTACTCTTCACCACATTGATTCTACAGTCACAGCGCCCGGGACGGACTGGGAGAAGAAGATCCTGCAGCAGGAGAAGGACCTTATCGCTGTGGGATGTCGCCCGACGCCGCACGTCATATATGTGAAGACTGAACTTGCTCCCGAGGACGACCTGGGCGACAAGGACCTTTACCCCGAGTGGGTGGTGGTGGGTCGCTGCCTGGCCTCCTGCAGCTACTGTCAACCACCTCAACAATGTCTTCCCACACCAGGAACACTACGCAATAAGACCTTCGTCGTCCGTGCAACTGACGACTCCAGAACTGTGCATCGTAAACGACAGGTCGATGAGGACACAGATTGTAGTTGCCAGTAATGGTGGTGGAGCGCAAAGGTTGTAAGCGCTGTCACAGAGACGTTTTATACCGGTTGCCTTAACATGCCCTCAGGAAACATTAACCATGATAAAACAATTATTTATATTTCATATAACTCTTATACCATTGGTGCAAGTTGTACTTGATGCACGCATTCACTGTATATATATATCATCTTCAATAAATATTTAAATTAACACATTTGTTTCACTTACTTTGTATACGAGTATTTCGCTCAGATTATGTTCAGTGCAATATTGGTCTGGGTTAAACAATACCAAGGTACCAAGTTAGTGGATCGAAAGTAACTCAATTACAACGTTTCTCGGAAAAATAAACACCCAACAGAGTTCTTATTCGCATATCTGGTTCTTTGACTTTATATATTAAATACAAATATTGTACACAAACCCTTTGCTCGTGTACATTTTAATGTCAGCGTTGGTCAGCTGTCAGCGGTGATCAGGTGTAGGTATCAGCATATCATCCAGCCACCGATGAACCAATCAGGAGGTGCTAGATATAGACCACGCGAGTTATCATAGCTATTAAAAATTGTATTTTAAATCAATTGATAACCTGCAAGGAGGTTATTACCACAAAAATGTATTCACTCATTAAAGCAAAGCAAACTTGACAAGGAAAAAGCTTCATGAATCCAAAGTAAGTAATTATCAAAAAGAAGGCACCAAGCCGGGAAGCCTATGTAGCACCTTTTATGAACCCAAAATTTTGTGTTATTACATGACTGGATCGCGTCCGAGGAGTGTTGCCACCTAGTGTGCCACGCTGCTCGCCCTGGAAACTACTTTTGTTTGTGTGTAAACACTGTGTTGCTCCTGCCTTGTGGTAATCGGAAAATTATATATATATATATATATATATATATATATATATATATATATATATATATATATATATATATATATATATATATATAAGTCCTCAACCACCACCAACAACACACCAACAACCAGTCATACAGGGCTACACACCACCAACAACACAGCCAGTCACACAGGGCTACACACCACCAACAACACAGCCAGTCATACAGGGCTACACACCACCAACAACACAGCCAGTCACACAGGGCTACACACCACCAGCTACACAACCAGTCATACAGGGCTACACACCACCAACAACACAGCCAGTCACACAGGGCTACACACCACCAACAACACAGCCAGTCATACAGGGCTACACACCACCAACAACACAGCCAGTCACACAGGGCTACACACCACCAACAACACAGCCAGTCACACAGGGCTACACACCACCAACAACACAGCCAGTCACACAGGGCTACACACCACCAACAACACAGCCAGTCACACAGGGCTACACACCACCAACAACACAGCCAGTCACACAGGGCTACACACCACCAACAACACAGCCAGTCATACAGGGCTACACACCAACAACAACACAGCCAGTCATACAGGGCTACACACCACCAACAACACAGCCAGTCATACAGGGCTACACACCACCAACAACACAGCCAGTCACACAGGGCTACACACCACCAACAACACAGCCAGTCACACAGGGCTACACACCACCAACAACACAGCCACACTATCAGATGCAGCCAATTCCTGCAGTGTAAGGAGTAGCTAACCTAATTCCCACTTAATAACAGACAACTAAACAAACTAACAAATAAAGAACTGACACTAACGGTGCTGCTGATGTCACGTTGTCTATCACTCTACAGGATAAGACAAAAAATGAACACGTATTTGTCTTCGTCCATCTCTCCATAAATATTTACTATATAACTGATCGAGTTACTGGTAAGACACATGAACTATACAAAATAAATGACTTAAGCTCATTAAACGCCGACATTCTCTGTGCTAGAGGAAGCTTAGCTAAACCTTAGTTCACCGCGTCACAACATATCGTTCACCAGGGAGCCACCTCGAGCACACGCTTCTGATACATTATGAACGCTGGGAGCGAAAATGTAAGAAAATCAATTAATTCTACAGCACTCTGGTCATTAAAGCTTTAAGATAACACTAAGGCTTTCAGTGACAGCTTTACCATCAACTGTGCCGTGAGCCAGATGAGGACTCAACGCTGCCGGGCTGAGTACTGTCATGGTGGGAGAGACGAGTAGAGTGGATACGTCACAAGTACGAGTAGGCTCTAAGACCTGAGGACATTTTTCACCATCTTACGTCATCGCTACTCTTTAAATTGACCCAACACAATCTTATCTAACCTAACCCAATCTCACCAAAATGGTAAAAATGTATTTTATGTGGGTCTCCCGCCTTTTATAAAAGGCAGGTGACGTTACTATGACGTCATAGTTTTATCCCGCCTCAGACTGTTTATTCTGCTGGAATTATCGTACCCATGATGGTTTATCAACGGATTTTAAAACCTCCAAACCTTGCTAAATGTAGCACAGCCTAACCTAATGACATACACGGTTTTGACAATTAGAAAAACGAGCTTCGTAGAAACGCCTGTATACGATTTGGCCTTTCTCCAGGGATACATACTGGCTGGTGTTAATCATATCAATTTACTTTTAATTAAAATATCCTGTTACCCCTGACTTGTTGGCGAGTTAATTATTAACTCTTTCTCCCTATTCACGTCCTCGTAACCGCCTTCTCCCTCCCTCGTCTACCAAATCTTTTTCCTCTCTTCCCTCCCTCTATCTCTCTCTTAGAACAAATATTATTATAAACGACTGTACCTATGGAACAACTTTGGAAATCACATAGGGAGGGGGGGGGGTCACTGTAAATGACGATATTTCTTAAAACATTTCATTTGATTCGACGCCAAGGCCTATGACATTCCTTTATCCAACACAATTCTCCCTGGAACCACCTGCCACCCACGACTCACATGTAGCATACAATTATCGTAATTCTTGCTATTTTCCTTCGTACATACAGATTTTTCCCCTTCATTGCAAAAGTCAAAATATATTATGTAATATTTCATGTTTTTCTTTATAAATGAGATGAATTACTAGGACAAATAAAAAATCATTACCACCAAGTGTTTTAAACGATACGTTCACCTCGCACGCGTTCGAACGTTCCAATACCACAGACAATCAGCGAGTGAACGTACCTGCACGTGACACCGAACGTTCCCTGACGTGCGTCGATACCTTGCCCTAGTGCAAGGTGGTCTTAGTGTCACTTCAAGTATCAACACCAGACAGGCATAACCTCACTAACCGCCTCCGTAGCTACTCGTGCGGCTACACTCTCCACAACCATGAGGATGCCGACGATAGTCAAGATGGACCACAGTACAGAACCCCAGAGTCACTCATCCTGCATCAAGACCCGCAGATACTGTACTCTATTTGCGATTGCTGGAGTGGCAATTTTTATTTTAACGTATTCTGTGGCGAGTCTTGCAAACAGCAACAGCGCATCTCCAGCTGAGAAAACAAATCATACACCTCTGTATTCCACGACAACAGCGAATCGTATCGCAGCGACCGATCTCCCAAACACGGAGGCTTCTCGTTACGACTTGACTTCAACAGTTTCATCGCCTGAGACGGACTGGGAGATTCAGATCCTGCAGCAAGTGAAGGAATTAACCGCTGTGGGATGTCGACCAACGTTGCAAGTAAAGCACGTGTTGACCTTACTCGCTCCCGAGGACGACCTAGGCGACAAGGACCTTTACCCCGAGTGGGTGGTGGTGGGTCGCTGCCTGCCCTCATGCAGCTACTGTCAAGCACCTCAACAATGTCTTCCCACACCAGGAACACTACGTAATAAGACCTTCGTGGTTCGTGCTACTGACGACACCAGAACTGTGTATCGTAAACGACAGGTCGTCGAGCACACAACTTGTAGCTGCCAGTAATGGTGGTAAAGTACGAAGCGCTGTGACAGTGAAGCCTTGTACCAAGTGTCTTAACATGCCTTCGAGAAACTATAGCTCTCAAAAAACTTTTATTTATGTTTTATAAAATTCTTATATTATCTCAGTATTGTAAGTTATGACTGAAACACTCATTCACTGTATATTATTATATCATATTTATTAAATTTGTTAACCTATACATGTGTTTTATTTACTTTATAAAATCAAATATTATGTTAAATGCAATAATAATTTAAGTTAAAACAATATCTAGGCACCAATTTTGTGGTTAAAAATCAAACGTTTGTCAAAAAAAGGTAAACAGCTCATTGAGTTGTTGTCATTCAGTCCTTTCAGTCCTCATTCAGTCCTTTGACTAAACATCTTAAATTAATATACGCAAAACCCTTGCTAACATACACTTAAATATCAGCGTTGGTCAGCTGTCAACGCTGGTCAGCTGTAACTATCAGCATGTCAGCCAGCCACTGATGACACAGTCAGCTGCTGTTATACGGATATAAATCACTTGTGTAGCCACAATCAGGTTTAAGAGCCCAAAGTCTTCCGTTATCGTGAATTACATGCATCTTCCCCAGCATCCTTGACGAGGGTAAAACTACCATATCTCAACGTTGTAAGACAATTAATAATACAATAATTATACTAATTTCTGATTACTGTTTCTTTTGAGGTTATGTGGTATAGATTTTTTTCTTTATTAAATAATATACACTATAAAGATCATATTTAAATTAGTTTACAAGGGAAAATACATTATATGTAGGTAATATAATTCTCAGTTGGTGAACTTGTCCTCTTAAAAATTACATCGCTTTTAGCCGTTTGCCCGTATGGCCGAAAGTGGACGTAATTTGAAAATGAAAATAAATTTAGGAATTTTTTTTCAACAACAGTAAGATAAGGGTCCTCTGATAGGTTAGGTGGGCAGGAAATTCTCAAAGTTTCAAAACGTTATGAAAAACGTTAATTGAAAGTTTCCTCTTCTAACCTGTCCGAGTAAGCCGGACGACTCAAACAGAAAACGGGACAGTACGTCACTTTTGTGAGTCGATTTCATTTCAAATTACGTCCAAATTTGGCCATAGCGCGCATACGAGCGAAAAGTGACGTTATTTTTAAGAGGACGGGTTGCACAGTGTATGTGTGTGGATAGTCAGGCAGGCAGGAGGGTTACTCAGTAGACAATATATTGAAGTTCTTGCGAGGCAGGAACAAGTTTCATATGGGGTTTACGACTCATAATCGGTGATGATATGAAAATTTGGCTTACTGAGAATTATATAAACCATATATAATGTATTATTTTCCCTTGTAAACTAATGTAAATATGATCTTTATATTGCATATTATTTAATAAAGAAAAAAAATATATACCACCTATGCAAATGCAATTGCAAAAAATGCAATTTTTTGTTTACATAAACTCGATGACACTATTTGATGTGGAGAACAGCATATCAAAAGTTGGACAAATTTGACACGGGAAAGTCTTCAAAAACGACATTAAAACATAGCTAATAATCTTCAAATTGCAAGTTTTTAAAACCTGATATGCTATTTTAATGCCTATCATCCATTTTCATTATTTCAATGCATATCATCTCTTTCATTCATTTTTTTCAAATAACAGTATTCCATTGAATGAAAGATGCATTTGTACTGACGTCATCAGTGATGTAATCAAAAGACAACTTTGCAATTAAGTATTGATGTCATGGCATAATGATTATTAAAATTAACATATACTTCTCAGATGCAGTCTTGCTTATCAACCGCTTCCATCAACTCGTATGATATACTTAAATCGTCTTGGCTCTCACATCACATTTTATGGTATACTTCAACCTTATACTTCAACTCCAATGATCTGTAAACCTGACTAAGTTAAACCTTTGATGACTAAGGCGCAGCTAGGAACATCCCGTGCGTAGGTTCGAACCCTCATCACGGCCCTTGTGGATTTGTTCATCTGTAAACCTGTGTTGGTAAACCTCGTTGTGGCTACGACGTGCAGTCGGTAATGTCCATAAACTCGGCTGATTATAGTAGCAGTCTGTTATACACTAGTTTACTGTTCTTCGCTTAAAACAAATTAGTTTACAAGCCTGTCTGAGAACAATAATCACGCAACGATTGGATAGATGAAGGAGAAGCTATACAATTGAACACGTAGCTTATCTTCTTGTATTATTCATTAGAGTAAGTCCGAGGAGGCAACGCACGAACGTTCGGGGACGTACGGAGGGAGAGGCTGCAGTCTACAGGTTGACAACCACACAGCCGAGATTATATCAGGCTTGATGAACTATCTAGTTTATTATATACATTTAACTAATTCTAAGATTTAGCCCAGTGAAGGAATTGTTTGACATTCTTCTCGATTCAATCAGGCAGTACAAACAGACAAACACATGCAGGCATGATAAATTATTAAAGGAAGTTCATTTATAAAGAAAAAGGGTATATTCATCAGAAACAAAACGTTTATCAGAGGACCATGGCGTGACCGCCCACGGGACCCCCACAACCATGACGACACCAAAGCTCATGATGGGTATGACCACACTGGGTGATAACTGACATTGCAACTGAAGGCTGTTGTATAACCACATGGACGATACCATTATTATAATCAGACTTCATGGCGTTTCTGACCACGAAACACGCTAAGGAAGATGACATATTACAGACATGGGTATTACAGGAGGGTGAGGACCTATATGGAAGGAATGCAATGAGAGAATTAGTGAGGAAAATAACAAATGAGATGATGGAATTATTATTAATTTATATGAGAGAGTAGGTTACCGTTGTATCACACTGGACGTGCAAGGCTTGGCAGAGCATGGCTTGTGGATGGTTTGTATGTTTATGATTCTCTTCTATAGCAGAAATGCCTTGTCATCCCTCCTTCCTTTCTTCATTCCTCCATTTCTCTTTTTTCCCATCCTCCCTCCCTCAATCCTTTCTCCATCCTTCTCCCTTCCTCCCTCTCTCCTTATCCCTAATCCTTACACCACCTCTGTTATTCCTTATCTTATCCACCCCAAGTCCGTCATCCACCATCATCATCCACCAAGCTCCCACATATCTATATGCAGTTTCTTCCTATTATTTCGCCTTTTCATCCTAGGTATAATTCAGCCTCCACTCACAACTCACATTTATCAAACTATTATCGTAATTCTTGTTATGTATTTTCCTGTCAATATGTTTTGCCCATTATTGCGAAAGCTAAACTATATATTTTAATATTATTAAATGTTCTATTAATATATAATTTTATAAATTTGAAACAATTATTTACCATCAAGTGTTACTAGGCGTTACGTTCACTTTGCACGTTTTTGAACGTACAATCCCATCGACTGTTAGCAAGTGAACGTACGTGAACGTAACACCTTGAACGCATCGAGGCGTGCGCAGATGCCTATATCTTAGTGAGACAGGACACAAGGGTCACGTCTTGACTCGACACCATTCAGACATCACTTCACTAACCTCCGCCTCCGTAGCCACACGGCCAGATATACACTCAACGACCATGAATCTGCTGTCTATAGTCAACATGGACCACAGTACAGAGCCCCAGAGTCACTCATCCTGCATCAGGACCCGCAGATACTGTATTATATTTGTAACAACTGGACTGGTAATTTTTACTCGACTTATACTTATTTTATGGAGCGTCTACCACGGTAACAACATCACATCTTCAGCTGTCGAAACAAATCATACACCTCTGTATTATACGACAACGACGAATCGTTTGGCAGCGACAGGTCTACTAAGCACGGAGGCTTCTCGTTATGACTTGGCTTCTTCAGTTACATCCCTTGAATCGGACTGGGAGAATCAGATCCTGCAGCAGATGAAGAAATTAACCGTTGTGGGATGTCGACCAACGTTGCAAGTAAAGCACGTGTTGACCTTACTTGCTCCCGAGGACGACCTAGGCGACAAGGACCTTTACCCCCAGTGGGCGGTAGTGGGTCGCTGCCTGCCCTCCTGCAGCTACTGTCAAGCACCTCAACAATGTCTTCCCACACCAGGAACACTACGTAATAAGACCTTCGTCGTCCGTGCTACTGACGACACCAGAACAGTGTATCGTAAACGACATGTCGTCGAGCACACAGCTTGTAGTTGCCAGTAATGGCGGTACTTGGAAAACTTGTACCTGCTAACTGTGACAATACAGCCTTGCATCAACTGCCACATAATTCCCTTGGAGGCTATTTAAACTTTGTGTTTATTTTATATTATTTTGGACAATATTATTATCTGGTTAGAATAGATAGCAGTGGCTAAAGCAAACATAACAATATGTGTAGCCTATATATTATTAAAGTTTCTACTTAGACATTTAATTTCTTATTTATATATATATATATATATATATATATATATATATATATATATATATATATATATATATATATATATAATAATAATAATAATAATAATAATAATAATAATAATAATACACATACACATATGGTACCTGATTATAGCATGCTCATGGCCGTATTTCCATAGAAAAGGTAAAACACCAAAACACCAATTTAGTTTTCCTTAAAATATTTGTTACAATTAAAATACCCCATAAGTTTTAAGCACACGTCTATTTATTATATGTTTGAGATAAAATACGTATTTTAGTAACGATTGGATGGCTGGAGGAGCCAGTGAAGTATTCACCCGACCCCCCGACCCCAGTTGTCGTCACCAGCCCCCTTCCCCTTTCTTCAGGTCGTCACAAGCCCTCCTGATGTCGTCACAAGCCCTCTTGATGTCGTCACAAACCCTCCTGATGTCGTCACAGCCCTCCTGATGTCGTCACAAGCCCCTCCTGATGTCGTCACAAGCCCTCCTGATGTCGTCACCGCCCTCCTGATGTTGTCACAAGCCCCTCCTGATGTCGTCACCGCCCTCCTGATGTCGTCACAGCCCTCCTGATGTCGTCACAAGCCCCTCCTGATGTCGTCACAAGCCCTCCTGATGTCGTCACCGCCCTCCTGATGTCGTCACAAGCCCCTCCTGATGTCGTCACCGCCCTCCTGATGTCGTCACCATCCACGGGCCTGATGTAAGCATGCCAGCTGACGCCACACCCCAACCTCTCCATGTGCTAAACGTGTTTACACGAATTTGCCCGTGAGCCGCC